CAAAATATTTTGAACTGAGAAGTAGCAAGCATTTCCGGAATTTAGTCTCCTCCTAACTTCCTCACGAGTACTCATCACTGGCATAGATAAAGCCATTTGTATGACGCAAACACACAGGTTACGAAACAAACATTATTCTTATTCGGAGAACATTTCTTCTATCATGTTCCGCTGTCTAAAGAACAGGATACTAAGAATGAACAGTAAAAGATCAGAATGTTCCAGGAAAATGGATGAAACTTCATGAATATCAGATAATACTCGTAAACACCCATGTAATTTTAGTCAGAAAATCTGAAGACACATGACGATGGGTTAAGATTGGAGTACAATAAAAAGAATGACTGATCTGTTCCCATAGTTACTGCGAGTCGTGGTTATCAACGAAAGAACCTGCTAACGTCACCGCCAGTGTTGCGGCAAGAATAACACATTTTAAAAATTCAGAGTATACTCCAAAGAGTAAACATTTCAAATGCCCTTTTATATAGCAATGGACTTAATCGGTTTCTGCCTAAAAATCGTCCAGTTTATTCATGCGGTATATCGCCTAACACCAGAACTGAGTAGACCTACAATTAGAACGTATCACCAATCACAAAATTACTTGTCTAACAAAAACAAAAACTGTCGATATGATCTTTTGTTATTTAACACTGTAACATAGTAGAACCAACTTTGAAAGCTGCAATTTGTCATAAGTGCGAGATACGAAACTGGACCAAATCAGGGAGCTGAATTGTCGGCAAGTACTCCACCCAGACTGACTAAAAAAAACCACCCAACATGACTCATAAAACTGATCTGAATCCACTATTTTCCACTGTCATAAAATCACCGTTGCCAACAGAACTTTGGCTACACCGGTCTCGTCTGACTTCATTTATCTGCATGAGGACTCACGGACAAAAACAAACTATTAAAATCTCACCGCAAGTGATGTGGTATGCAAATTATTATAAGCAGTACCACCACTCCACCCACCCCACCCAGTTCACTGAAATATATCTGGTTTAGTTGGTATGCCTGAGGCACCAGGACGTCAGTGATTCTTGTGCATCACGTGAGACTGCCTGGTCATTTCAGATGCCGTCCGTAACATTTCATCTCGAAGGCAAGTTTCGATATACGCATTTCAACTTTATCTCGTATAAAGAGGTCGCAAGATACAGAATCACTTATCACAAAGTTAACAAACGTAGTCCTACCAGAGACGAAGTGGGGGAATATGTCAATACAACAGACAGAATGATTAATGAATGACGAATTTGGAAGGACGCGTTCGTGGTGCGGTATGAAGTACTATGAAGGCGTTTACATGAAGGCACTGAGGAAAACCACGAGAAAACTTTAAGAATATTCCATCTACGGCCGGAGATTTGAAGACAGGACTTCAATAATTCGAATCAGGGTTACCAACACCTCGGCCGAGACAATCAATAATTCGAATCAGGGTTGCCAACACCTCGGCCGAGACAACTGCTGTTGTTAAACACTTAAATAAATGAACTGAATTGAATTAAACTACTTACCGGCCCTCAGGGCTGGACATGTTTGACTGCAGCGGTGTTATGATCTCCCAATGGACCAACAAACAGCCTCTGACGTGTTTATAAAGAGCTTCTATTTCCTGTGGACAATACAAATAGTGTTAGTACGATAAAAAGTACGTAACTTTCAAACACCCATTACTTTGAGTACAGGGACAAATACTACGAAGTTCTACTTTAGTACTCTTTCGTGATGAGGTCTTTAATATGCACGCCTATAATGAGAATATTGTATCTCTAATATTATTTATGTATCCAGTGGATATTGTGTATCGGGTAACTCGTATGAGGATTATTTATAACGTGCTTCGGATGAGGACCCGTGGAGATGTAAATTTTGAACTCCGTGGGAATCCCACTTAGCCCCGAGCATTCAGTAATTTCCTCCATCAAAAGAAATCGATGCAACGCATTCTAGGACCGACCGTATCAAATGCATGGGCTAGACCCACATGTCGTCCCATTTTCATAAATCAATTAAGAAATAAAAACGTAAACGCGCACATTGGGCAGAACCATGGCAACGGAGAGATGGGAGTGGGCTGGTTTCATCTGTTTCAACATCCAAGAAAAAAACCACGAGCTTTAAATCGAGTAGCGAACGAGGTTTTAATGGGGACAAAGACCAGTCAGCTAGACGTGGAAATCGAAGGATTCTTTCTGTTTTTTTTTTACGACGGTAAGGGAAACAAGTGGCGCTTGGACTGTGGGGGGGGGAGGTGGTGAAATACGACACAGTTAAAATATAATATATTCATAAATCTGATAAACGTGTGCATCATAAAATTCGAAAATAAAAAATAGTTCGGGGTGTGTAAAAATTTAAGTCAGCTGATCTTATAGTAAGAAAGATTTCAGCTCCTCCCCGTCAAACAAACTAACCAACAGCGGCCTTTGGTCAGTCGGTAAAGCACATAAATTTCACGATTTTTAATATGTCAATTATTATACCAAAGATGTCATGAGTGAAGCAGCTATGGGCCATAAATTCTATTATATTCAGAGATTTTTCTAATCCAATTTCTCTCATACCTTATAACAAGCACAAACATAGGGCTACAATCTCGGAATAATATAGAGCGATTTACTGAAATCTGTTTCTAATAATTTTATTCTTAATCTGTTCAGAAATGTCTCAATGCAAGTCACATCAGTTCACTTCAATTACTGGTGCTATACAAATGTCGGATTATGTCTAATGAAATGTAATTTTGGTTATATAAAAAAGAGAAAAATACACAAACTGCCATGTTGAAACTGAGATCGAAGCCTAACCCAATCACAAATACATTACCGAATGCGTTTGAAATTCCTTCGCTGATTTCTCAAGATTTACGACAAGATTTAATAAGATACTGACCACCGTCTGAGGCACATTGGATGTGCGAGATGTTTATTAACGTCAGAACTATTCACAACTTCAAACGATTGGCTGCCATTACACTGACAGTTATATATGTATGTCTGTACATTATGGCAATGCCGAAATGGAATCTGTGATCCTGTAGCACTGGTGGGACGACGAAGCCCCACTGAGAAACTCAGATTAGCTTTCCGGAGCAACAAAATCAAGCTTTTGAACACTAAACCATTAAAGAAATTATTGGAGTGTAGTGTGATACCTAATTTATATTTTGTAATACTGTGGGTATAAAGAATTTCCGCTCCCAAAATGCAGGTTACGAGTGTAACATCAGACAAAACGCGGACTTCAACACCCCTATGGCCTTTATAAAAATCTTTATTTTCTTGTGTTACTATATTTAATTATGGTTTTCGTACTGATATATCGTAATTTACCTTTCATTCCCTATAACTTGGTGTCCATTTAAAATAGCCGAACGGTGGCTTCATTTTAACGATTTCGACATCAAAGGATTACGCAGAGAAAATAGTTTAGGTGATCATAAATCAAAGTAATTAACCCCTTTGAAGCCGAAGATCGTCCAAATAACATTTAAGAATTCAGACCGTACCGCAAAGAAAACACAACTCTTCACCGTTACATAGACCAACTGGTTAACGATGTTTAAGTAAATAACAGCTGAGAGTCGGTAGGAATGCAGAAAGACGATCAAATCAGCTTTCAAGAAGCAGAGTCCGAAACCAAAACAACTGACTAGCTACTTCAATGTTTTATGAGGTCGCCACAGGTGCTAGTTCGGTCCAGCTCTGTTAAGGAACCGTGTTCCCGGAATACCTGTGATCATATACAAGCTCTAAACAATATTTACGAGCTGACTGGAGGACAACGATTGTCCCCGTCATCGGAAACTGATAGCGTACCCGGGGCTCTTGTTTGTGGACACTCCCCTCGTGTTCCAGGGAATTATTACACCCGGTACGTGAACACAGTGCCTGTGGTAACAATCTTCGACACCTCAGAGGGAATCAGTTGATCGCACATGAAATAGTCACCTATTCATCTGAGCTATAATGACGCATAGGAAGATCTATAAACCAGGATAAAGATCATTATCACGTCAAAGGCGATCATATTTTATTACTTACGGAAGTGACTTTCTCATTTCATGTTTCGTACCTCGATATGAGTACATTTTCCCTCTGAAAACTTACTGCAAGACAACAGTTAACGTAGGATTGTGTCCAGTGACGGCCTCTGTTAGTTGTGGGGCACCCTGTATCACAGTGACACTTGCGTGAGAGTGGCTTCACTCCGTTCTGCTATAATCACATCGCCGAGGCCCACAATCGCCCTCAGGCTCTGCTCGCCAAATACACTGAGCATATGTTAATTAACTTGAAATGCAAAGATAAATATATCAGGTCAGCTTTATTAAGATACACCTGTCCGTTTGGTGTCTACGAGCGCGCTGTCCGAGGAACAGTTTCACTGCCACATCGCATCAGGAAACCAAAAACCAGATTCTTACCGCAGTTGAAAAGCGATACCCACGTTCTGAACTCGCACAGAAATGAGTCTATACTGGTCTTTGAAGCTGAAACGCCATGTTGACTTCCATGTGGATAAGACACCGTTTTGGAGAAAACATACTACTTCCATTACAGCCCTGAAGAAGGATGCTGTATCTTCCTCCGAAACGGTTATCTGCCTGAAAATCCACACGGCGTTAAAACCCAGAAAGCCAACATCGACATGAAGATGTCAACCTGCTGGGATGTTACAAGAAGAATGAATATTTAAAGAACAGACAAAGTTTATTTTAGAACTTATAGCCCGTAAAAGTTGACGGAAATTAAACTTCCTGCGTTAAAGAGTAGTACATTTTATTGTAACATTATATTTTGAAGTCGCGCTGAAAATACAAAAAAAAATTTGGAACTTCTACAAAAGTAATTCAAATAAGGAAACTTCTTCTGAAGAGAGAGAGATTCTTGCCAGACTCATTTCAGCCACTCCAAAACATTTGGCCATCCCTGATGATTGCTGTTTGAAGCAAACAGTCAGACACATTTCACTCAACTCATTTACATGCTGGATTAATTCTTAATGTAGCCGTTTAATGAGTGCTCTCTTCTCACAATGTTCGTACATATAACCGTCTAAATTAGTCTCCCGTCCATTGTAATTGCGACTGTTTCTTAATACCTTATTTACATTCCATCATAATGCAAATAGCGTAATGCACTATTACTTAATCGCCTCAGGGTGAATATCCATCTCGAAAAAAACCCTTCCCATATAACATGTATGTATGTATGTCTACATGAGACTTGTGTCCTTTCTCACCTCAAATACGATGCAGGTAAAATATTTTGCTAACAAAATGTTGTTGACTGATCACTAAAGAAGATGTCGCTGTCCTTTGAGCCTATCCACACAAATTCCACACAAACATTCCTTCGTCAGGAGGAAATGGAGATCTAGAAATCTCTTGGGTACACGTTCCAGAATGTGGAAGACTTTTTGACATAAGACAAAATACACGCGACATATCGGACTCTCACGTATTCAGGACAAAACCCCATTTTACTACAGAGTGGTCATATTGCTCCTTCAAATATTACTGAGGTGTGGTCCAGTCTTTTTTTTTCCTAATACTAAAACTAATCTCTAATTAAGAAATAAATTATGAGCTGCTTCAAACTGGTAGCCTTCATCATGACGCTTATACAACAGATCTTGTATCAGATACCCAGTTTCTCAGGTATTTCATCATTCTATAGGGCAAATTAAATGTATCTGAGGTTAACCAACCTCAAAAAAATTAAACCACCAAGTTTTATGTGTGTATAACAACCAGCACCATAATAACATACCGACACGAACAACAGATCTTGAATATAGTGACAACATTAAGGCATATTATAACACAGTAGACTCGGACGGGACTCGATCGTATGTCCGTCTGGGCCAGACGCAAATCCTACTTATGAGCTGCATTGAATTACAAAAGGCGGTCCACAAGGGTCATAGGTAAAACCAGACATAACTGAGTTCATACGCTGGATTAACCAATCCCAATTATGTGAAAAACTGTTTCCACATACACAAGAACTACGGACGGAGGCAGACAGAGAGACGGTGGTGATTAGTTTTCAGAGCGCAAACGCAAAGAACTCTTGTGTGCTCCCGAGTGGGTTGGACTTTTTTCCTTGTAAAAATCTCGTTCGTTTACTCCGCATAAAACAAAAAATATGTTTAAGGTAGCAGCTGGATAGGAAATTTAAGATCTGCACTTACCGACTCGTCATGACACGAGGAAATAATTTTCGTAATAGCCGCTTCAAGGAACGCGTTGGCTCGACACGGAAATCAATCTACGTAAAACGATGGACGCTTGACCGACAGGTTCTCGTGTATTCTCAAGGGCCCCGGGAGATTCTACAGCACGTGGGCTCCATGTTTATTTTATAGCAAGTGGCGATACCATTAAAACATTCACGGACAGAACCCTTGATTGACATCGGTAGCACAAAACTGACATTAACTGAAATTTGATTTTAATAATTTCTCTCGGGGCGGTACATTTTTTTTCCCCTCCACGGTCTGACTTGAATACGTTCCAGTGAGGTCTCCCGGCTACAACATGCCACAGTTCCCCGTGAATTAACGTGCACGCAATGTATGCGTACGCACAACGCAAGACTTTATATG